TTATATGTCAGTTTTGTATATTTTTAATATCCCAAAGAACCAAAATGAATTTGAACTGCCATATATATCTTTGATTCCGCACTTTTTGGACAATTTGAAATCACGAGGTTTTCGAAAATCAAAAACATTCTGATTGTACAGACAAGTACTCTGAAGCTGAATTGAAAACGATAACGATGCTCGAATTTTGATTAGAGACCAGGTCTTCCACCAATCTACTGGAACTCCTATGGTGAACAATTGCGCGCAGTCATTAGCAGACCTATTTTTGTATTTATATGAAGCAGAATTTGTGCAAAGTCTTATGCGTGAAAAGAAGAAAACACTTGCTCGACATTTAGATATATCGAAGACGTATTGTCAATGAACAATGGTAATTTCCATTCTTATGTCGATACGATATATCCTGGTGAACTTGAAATTAAAGATACCACAGAGTTCGACATATCTGTTTCATACTTGGATATTTTACTTGAAAAACACGTTAAAGGTAATCAAGCTCTATGACTTTTACTTTACTATCGTCAACTTCCATTACTTATGGTGCAATATACTGGTACCTACATCACCTGCATACGGTGTTGATATATCTCAGTTGATTCGATACGCAAGAGCATGCTCTTCGTATGTACGATTTCTTAATAGAGGTTTGTTACTGACAAACAAGTTAATGAAACAGGAATACCAGCAGTCTCGTTTTAAGTCATCAATTCATACATGTAAGTTCTATGGTCGACACAACGTCAGCAAATACAATTTATCATTGCCGACTGGCTTTTCTACCGATAATTGTTAGGCCATTTTATACACACTGAATTGTCGACGGATTTTCCTGGTATTTTCCAATCATGACAAAGAGCACATGGCGAAAGTGACCAATCGGCAGGAAATGCTCACTTCTCCATGGCACCTGATCCCACCTCTGATGTTTCGGAGGTCCTTGTTTGCTCTGCTCCTATTTTGTATTGTTTTATGGACTTTCTGTTTCCTTTAAATAATAACGCCCTCATGATCAAAACTTAGGGTTAACAGCTGGTGTGACCGGGATGCTCACGCCTTCTACACACGCAATCCTACCTATTGAATTTCCGGAGGTCCGTGTTTTTTCGTCCTGATCATACATTTGTTTAATTGTTGATTTTTGGGTCGATCGCTCTCTGTCATCTTCATATTTTTTTACGACTGAACTCCTTACAATCACTACAAAGTAAGATTCATTTCCAAGTCTAGCTAATGGTCTACTAAGTCCCTATCTTTACACCTTGCAGATATGTTAAAAGGACACAATGAGTCAAAATCATGTATTTCCTTTAAGATATCTGTAGCATACAGAGAAAGACGTATAAAAATTATGAGTATATAGCTAAGATATGACAATTAAACTGCAAGAAAAAACTGCACGCTATAAGTGCCGGAAAAACAAATTAAAGGTTGTATCTACCCTTTCGTTGTTTGTCAAGGTCACGCCATTTTTATTTTAGCTCAGACTTGTACACAGCATTCAACTGGAGCATGCAAAGGTGAGAAATATGTTCTTACAACGTTTTCATAAGATTGCCTCTAAATTTTTGGTCTACTTACATTAATTCCTGGGTACTTGAGACCATGGTAACTATGGAAACTTATTCAACTTTTCTGCGCACGCGTACAATGTGGTGGAAGAAGTATTGAGCAATATTTTCGGTCTGAGGCAAAAAAAAATATTTTTACTTTTATTTTTCTCCCTAAAAATAGAATTTTTATGTTCGAATTCTGAAACCTGTAATTTTCTGAAACCTAATACTTTTAGGAATTGAACAAAATTAACAAGGGTCATGCAAAAATTCTACATTTGTCAATTTTCCCCTTTGTGTGCCACAGTGTCACTTTAGCTGCTGTAGCGGAGAAAAAGTAGACGTACTCCGCTATAGCATTTTTTAAAGTGCTGAAAATTAAGTAGATCTCTCAAAGCCTCCAAAAAACTTTTAAGAAAATAAAGAATCACTATTTTTCTTAAGTCAATTACATCAAGATGTATGACTTTTCTGTATTTAAAAAGTAGGCTTTTTGACCCTGAAATTTTTTTTTAAATCTCATGATTGGTCACCAAGCTGTGTTTAAAATAACTCTGATTCTACAAAGAGTAAGTACTCGGAAGTAAATATTAAATTCATGCTGAAGTTCTTCATTGACAACATTTTGCAGTTATCGGAGACTAGGTCTTCCAACAATATATTTTGAATTCTAATTGCCTCTAATTCTGCTCCTTGTAAGCCGATATGTTTTTTTACATTGATACATTTATTTCTTTAAAGTGATAATAATAAGACCATTTCTACATGAGAAGAAAAAAAGACTGGTTGTTGTGGACCTGAAACTGACATATAAATATATATCGACAGCATTTTATAAATTAACAATCATAATAAGTAAGTCCATTTACATGTCGATTCAATATATCCCATGCAGTGAATCGAACTGAAAGACACCACGAAGTTTGTCGCATTTGTTTTATATTATTGGTATGTTTTGCTGATTAAAGATGGTTACGGCAAACTAAGAACAAAGCTGAATGACAAACGATTTTCCATCAACGACTTGCCTTACCTGTGAAACAATATATCGCTATCACCTGCTTGTGTCGTTAACATCTCCAAAGTATTCGATACTGTAGAGCATGCTCCGAAAACAATTAATTTTAGCGCCTAATCAAGCTACTCACAGAGGAAAGATGTTTCAAGGATTTAAACAACTTCTTAAAAGGTTAAATGTTGAAGAAATGTTAAGGATACACCCACAAACAATAACTTTAGGCTACTTAAAAGAACTACAAAGCTCGAGAATATTTATCAACACTTTAATATACAGTTATAAGTGGGTTATATGGAAAACGAGAAACAAATTTGAAAATGTAAAAGTAAATTATTTAAGTATAAACACTGCCTTAAAATATGAAATTAAATCCAATTTGTCTTTACAATTATACGACCCTCCAATTAACTGCCAACAAAAGGGAGACAATTAAAAAGATAATTTACTAAACTTTTTAAACGAACAATTAAGTTTTTAGAAACTAACTCTTAGACCAAATGCCAAATTATCATATGCACGTACATGTATTAAGCCTGATATAATACGATAGGATGTTGATAAGCACTTCTTGTTATAATGAATATTTTTTTCATAATCCTCTATTATATTTCTTTATGATTGATTAAAACGTACATGTAAAAACAAAATGCAAATTTCTTTTCTTTTTTTTTTTAGATCTGAAATACATTGTAATTTTTTTCCTCACACATGTAAATGAAGGACCCATACTGGAGGGTGACCTGGCACTCGGTACAAGTAGCAGTGGGATTTGATGGACTCCAATTTTTTTAAATACAAATTTCCAATGCAACAAGGGTCATAAATATAAATATACATGGTATTATACCAAATATTAAAGGGAATATGCGAAAAATGTCAGTCTGTAATTTGCTTTGATTTATTTTTCTGTCATTGTTTTTCATTTTGGTACTGAAATTAAACATATAGAACAATGATATATTTTATATAATTTACAATAGCTTATTATGTACAGAATGATCACAGATGTTTGCGTCTCTGCTATTATATATAAGATTTTTACAATTTTGAGTTTTTCAATATTTAAACTAAGCCCGCTGTTAAAAATACTCTTTGTATACAATGTTTTGTATGATACTGTATCTATATAAATAAATGAAAAAAAAGTTAAGAATACTTCATCAACCTTAGCTTTTCGTAAAATTAATGATCATCATGATGTTGTCGATGTTTCCAATCTTTGGGTCGTATCTTGAAAAAATATTTCAAACCCTTAATGAGCCTTTTTCTTCACTAAATTCGACTCAGAAATATTCCGTCTAGCTCTCACAGCGAGTAAGAACTGGTCAACAGAAGATGCTTTTTTTTTACCTCAGCACCAGATTCCATCATCCCATGGAACGTTGTTTAATTGCCCTGTGTGAAGATTTATTGTCCTGTTTGTAAGTTTTAAGATAGATCACTGTTCGTTACATTCGATTTTATTTTTCTTTTTGTCCTTTCTAGTACCATAAAATTAACATTTCTAGAAATATAAGGTTCTATACTTTTTTTTACTTTCCAATTTCCCAATCCTTAATTTCTTTAATTGTCAGTAGATATACTATAAGACAATATACTATATATCGAGAATTAAGAAAAGATTAAAGTACCATTTACTTGCAAGTACACTTAATTAAATCAGTTTCGATGGTATGTAATTTTTATATGATACTGTCATGATAAAACTTTATTTTGAACTCAATATTGTCTATAAGTCAAGTAGCCCATAATTAGCATAAAGAGGGCACACTTATCCGTCTGTCCATGAACAACTTTTTCTACACATTACTCTTCATATCCGTTCAAAGCTTGATGTGATCAATAGTCAGTTATAGTATACCCTCCCACGTATACCTCTTGACCTTCAAATAAAAGTTGAAGTGGTTTATGACTAAATGCTAAATTACTAGTTCCTAGTTTCGTTAATAGTTTCGGTTAAGAGAAGTTCTCTCTAATTTTTATGTGCACTCTTCATGCGTTAAAAAAACCCGAAATTAAGAGAATATATGATATAACCTATTAGCTGAAACTACAAAGAAAAATAAGATCTTATGTTGTAGCAAGGAATTTTGTTGAGAGTCTTGTTTTTTCAAAATAAGTATTTATGACTATTTAAACACCTGTTAGGTTCATACTTCATAAAACCACTAGAAATTTCTTTAAAAATTACTTGTAGATACGTAACAGTAAAATAAGAATATCTGTAACATCTTATTTTCCTAATTGCAGAGCTTATACTGAATGCAAAATATGGAGATAACGAACACTAATCAAGTTAAAAGTCTATTAAACAATCCAAAATAGGAGAAGAGCAAACACAGACCTCCAAAACATCAGAGGTGGGATCAGGTGCCTTTGAAGAGTGAGCATCCCCTGCCGACCGGTCAAACCCGCCATATGTGCTGGTTAGTATGATCGTAAAATCTCAGAAAAAATCCGTCGACAATTCAGTGTGTATAAAATGGCTAAACAATTATAGTATTGTAGTATGAAAAACATCAGCCAGCATTTGACTCAATGATAAATTGTTTTTGCTGACAAAGTCATTGTATCGACCATGGAACGTACGAAATGATGAGTTTAAACGAGCTCGAGACTGCTGATATTCTTTTTTCAGCATACTGTTTGTCAATAACATAACTCTTATTTTAAATTGTTCGTATTTACATGTAGAGCTTACTCCTGAGAATCGAATCAACTGAGAGATGTAAACCCTGTATGCAGGTGATCAAGGTATGTTGCAGCTTAAATAAGGGAAGTTGAAACAAGAATAATTTTTTCTCCTTCAAACTTCGCGCTTCGCAGATCATAAAGCACTAACTGATCCAAACCATGTTATACTCGAATAATTTGGCCAAAAATTATAGTAATTCCTTACATATTGTTGTAGGTAGAACGATATTTATGGACAGTCCTAACAAAAAATACTATAGTCAACTATAGTTTACTATACGTGTAGTTAACTATAGTAACTTTGACACTATGAAATCTTCGATTTACTATATAGATAACTTTGACACTTTGATTAATTACAATGTTAATTTTGTCACTTCGATGTTTTAGAGTGATAACAACGAAAGCTAAAATATGCCTTAGTGATCACTATGTAAACATTGATTTATCATAGTAAAACTTTGATTTACTACTATGATAACTTAAAAAAACTTTTATTTACTGTAGTGATAACTATGACATTATAATGATCACTTGGAAAAATTTGATTTACTATAGTGATCATTTTGATACTTTAATTTTCTATTGTGATCATTTTAATACTTTGATTTACTATAGTGATAACTATGACATTATAGTGATCACTTTGAAAACTTTAATTTACTATAGTGATCATTTTGATACTTTGATATATACTATGGTGATCACTTTGATACTTTGATTTTCCATATTGATCAATTTGATACTTCGATTTACTATAGTGATCACTTTGATACTTTGAATAACTATACTTGTAACAGAGACAATTTATTGCCTCTGCTGGGGATCGAACCCGGGACCTCTGGCTTGCCAGTCAAGTGCTCTACCGATCGAGCTTAAGGGTTAACCCACTAGCCCAAGCTAGTAGGATGCCGTTAATCTAACACTACCACATACTGATCACTTTGATTTACTAGAGTGATCACTTTGACACTTGATTAACAAGAGTGATCACTTTGATACTTTGATTAACTAGAGTGATCACTTTGATACTTTGATTTAGTGTAGTGATCATTTTGATACTTTGATTTACTATAGTGATCACTTTGATACTTTGATCTACTAAAGTGATCATTTTGATATTTGATTAACTATAGTGATCATTTTGATACTTTGTTTTTCCATATTGACCACTTCGATACTTCGATTTACTAGAGTGATCACTTTGATACTTTGATTTACTAGAGTGATCACTTTGATACTTTGATTAACTATAGAGATCACTTTGGTACTAGTACCTCGATTTACAATAATGATTTTTTGTTAGGGAGCGACCATTATATTGAGCTTAAAGATCGAAACGATATAAGTATAAAGTAGAGCAAACAAGAAAGTTGGAATATGAAGGAGGAAGCAACCCTGTCGTCCAGTAACACACACCTCAAGTCCTTTGACGCCTAGGATTGGGTAACAGGGTATTTAACAAACAATTTAGTATCAACTAATGAGATTACATGTTCAGACAGCATTCTACCTCATACAAAATGAAAATGAAGTTTTAACAGCGTTGTTGTATTTACCATAGAATCTCTGAAAGTTGACATTAAACGATATTCTTGATATCCTTATAACATCAACTGCAACTCTTAGTTATTGTTTGCATTCAGATAACATACTGGATTTGAAATTAACTAGTATATATAAATATATATATGCACCATATACAAAAGTTAATATAGCTACATACAGTACCGACCAGACCCAACCTGACACCAAAGCAGTCCCAGAAAGCAGTCCCCGGGACTGCTTTGGGACCGCTCTGGGACTGCTGTGGGACTGCTCTGGGACCGCTGTGGGACTGCTCTGGGACCGCTATGGGACTGCTCTGGGACTGCTATGAAAAGCAGTCCCAGCAGTCCCAGCTGCCCCTGGGACTGCTTTCTGGGACTGCTTTGTTCACTCATGTGTGACAAAGGTTCTGAGTGACAAGATAGCTCCGCCCCCTTGTGTATTCTGAATTTGCAGGCTCCCATTTGTTTTGTTTACTTGCAGCAGAGAGGAGATTAAACTGTTTAATAAGCAATAATTTCTTATAATCTTTAAATAACTTGAGATTACATGTATTATAGTTAATTTATAGTTTAAGGGACTGTATATTTAGACAAATGTAATATAGAATATTTTTAAAAATAATGTTGTTAAATAAGGAAGTCAGGAGGAGGTTTTTATTTCTTAAATGTATAAAACTTCAGACTCATGAGAAAAATTATCTACATGTGGATTTATTTTATTATTACATCTAAAATTAAATACTCAAAAATTGCATTTGGCACTGTTTAAAAAAATCATTACATTTAGATATAAGATATTTTAATTGAAAAGGCAACACCTTTTACAAGTACCACGCTAAAAGAGTATTCCATGCAACCCTCAAATAAAAATCTAACAATTTATTTATGACATGAAATAAAATTATGCCACCATTCTTCCGTAACATAAGCAATGTGAACAATTATACGGGAACTTACAGATGAATTAGTTTTTAATTTATAAATAAGTTATAATATTAAAAGAGTAAATTTAAAAAAAAAAATAAATAAATTAGCAGTTAAAAATACCGGGAATTATGATTTATTTCTTTTTTGTTTTGCTTTTGTTTACCAGCTGGCCGATAATTTGTATAAATAAAATGGTATAAACACCCGCGGTTTCAATCGCCTTTGGGCAGAAAATCAATCATGCATGTTATTTGGGTACACGTATCAGTGTTACACATCATTGAACATGCTGCTCAATTAACAATGACCCTAATTTCAATCTATGTAAATATTGTAATGCAAAAAAAAAAAAAAAAAAAGATTAATGAAATGCGTACAAATTTCTTTCAAGATTAATTAATGTAACATAATCTTATGATTCTATACTGGTCACTAACACAATTTACAAATAAAACAATAATTTTTAAATTAAAATGTCAGTAAAGAATAATCAATACTGAAAAATATTACTTGGCAAAGTTAGCAATGAATTTTTCAAAAGCCCAAATAAAAAAATGCCTTTAGAGTATCCCGATAGTATTGACAATGGCCATGATCTATAATGATTAGACCTATTTAAAACTAATTCTGGTGAAATATAATTAATTCAATTTTAATTTTCTGTATAAAAAATAAATAAGGGAGCCAGTATCAATCACAAAAAACCCCAAGATAATTGTGATTAAATATTTAATTTCAGTGTAATTCATTTATGTAGGTGTGTAAGCTTTCTTCCTTCAATAAATATTATTTCAAACTGTTTCAAATCTATGCGGTACTGCCCATACATGTAAATGACCTTCGCATTGTAAGATTCCTGGCATACTGCTAAACAAAAATTCAGCTGCCTTTTATAGTTCCATTGTTTATTGGAAATCTCATTTCTGAGTTAGCCCCGCCCATTAAATTAATAAACCCCGCCCACTGGGACTGCTGGGACTGCTTTCTGGGACCGCTGGGACTGCTTTCTGGGACTGCTGGGACCGCTCTGGGACTGCTTTGGGACTGCTCTGGGACCGCTGTGGGACTGCTCTGGGACCGCTGCGGGACTGCTTTAGCAGTCCCAGAAAGCAGTCCCCGGGACTGCTCTGGGACTGCTTTGTGTCAGGTTGGGTCTGGTCGGTACTGTAGGTAAGAAAATTCGACAATATAAAACCTGAGGTTATCACTTTTTTGTAAGGTTGTTTTATTTTTCTGATAAAACATCCAAATAGTTCAGACTTTACACAATGTTAAAGCATAAATTGACTTCTATGGAATATGTAAGATAAAAATAAAAATTACTGACTGATAAAATGCCATCGATGTACCACAATTAGAACTGGTGACCAATGTAAGCATAAATATTTCATATTGAAGATTTTAATCAAATCTGTATCACAAGAGAAGAAAAGTGGGTCTGCATATAAATAGTGCATGTATCACCATACTGAAGCCTTAAACTCTAAAATATTATTAAGATTAGGATTTTAATGGGATTGGGCACTACAACTACAGTCTCTAATACATGTGCCTCTCAAAAATGAGTCGTAATACCACAACGGCCATGACTTACACATATGTACAGTATTGTATATCAAGATAGGCGAGAAATAACTCTCATCCAGCGAATGTATAGTCCATAGTATCTTTCTTTTTGTCCACTATCTCGTAAAAACATAGCCGCTTATTGG